ATCATATAGACTAGATAGACCTCACCCACAACATACATCTATGCAGTTTTTGAACATTCAATGATTTAGTATTTATTTAAATAGACTACAAATTCTTAATTTCTATAAAAGTATAAAATGAATTTGCAATTTTTTAATTTAAGTACATCAAGTCCATCACCTAAACCACTTGGCCATGACTACCGTGGCTTCAGTAGTGAATTCTACCAACTTTTCAAAGAAGAATTATACTTACCCTTTTCAAATTCTGCTGTAAAATTGAAAATAAAGGGAAACTCACAAACATATTCTATGAAGCCAACATTAATTGGATTCTGAAACCAGATAAGGGCATCATAATAAAACTACCAATTAACTGTATATTCATCAACTGATGAATGGATAAAGATGTATATACACAAATGCAATAATGTTCAGGTATAAAAAAAATAGAATCCTGCCATTTGCAACAACATGGATGGACCTATATAGAGCATAATGCTTAATGAAATAAGTCAAATGGAGAAAGACAAATACCATGATTTCACTCATATGTGGTATATAGAAAAAAAACAACAGATGAACTTAAAAAAAAAAAAAAGGCAAAAAAACTGGGCCTACCCTGGTGGCGCAGCAGTTGAGCGTGGGCTGCGAAGCTGCCCACAGCCTCTGCAGTGCCGGTTTGATTCCCGGCCGCTGGCAAGGGTCCCACGTGGCGCGCAGACCTCTCCTGTCGCTCCCGCTGCTCCCCTCAGCAGTGTATTTTGTCAGTCTGCCTGTTCTGTTCCCTGCTCTGGCTCTGGTGAATTTTCTCACCCTCCCGCGCTTCTGACTGTACCCAGTACTTGTATAAATAAATAAATAAATCTTTTTTTTTAAAAAAGGCAAAAAACTTCTGGACTATAAGATAAATCAGTGGTTACTAAAAGAAAAGGTGGAAGTAGGGTTGGTAAATTGGGGGAAAGGGCACAAAGGTAAATGAAGGATAAAACATAACTTTTAGCAGTGAACTTAATGTCGTATTTGTTTATGCTGTTTCACAATGATGCACACTTAAAACTTATATAATATCAAAAATACAATGTTATTTCAATAAACAAGTTTAATAATTAAAACATTTGAATTATTTTCCTTGTTTAGCTATAAATACTGAGATCCATATTTAGTTAACTTCTTTATTGATTGGTTTGTCTTGCTCTTGAATTATTTTAGTTTGTCTCAGAACTGGAATGTATATAATATTCAAGCAATATTAATGTATTACACTTCAGTTCAATAATTTTAGGAATTTTTCACAAAACAATTGTTAGTCTTAACTTTCTTCTTGAAATTAGGAACCAGAAGCAACAAGTTTAAAAAACAATCCACACACATAAATAAGAACAATATGATCCACATTCTCATAATTAGTTCTAGGTTATAAAATAACTAAAGAAATTTGGGTCCAAATGATAATTAAGGTTATAGACATCAGAGAAATAAAACAGAAAATCAAAATATCTATTCTAATATAGATAGCACAAGAGCTTTTATAAAGCATAGCATATACTTTCCAAATGGTTAAAACCAAGATTAAGGCAGTTAAAACTTTCTGGAATGTTGAAAGGGATTTTACAAAAAGATAGCTCTAAGGAAGTATTCAGAGGAGTAGCACAACAGCAGAGCTTTGGAGTACAAGAGAAAACATTTTAAGTGTATGACCAAATGTTTTCTTGAAAATTAGTCTAAAATTAGATGACCAAAAATATAAGTACTATGTCTACAGTCTAGAGATGTAAAGATTTTCCATAAAAATGAATGAACACAACACACATACATTCTGCAAGCATAGCAAAATCTGAAACTAAAAATATTGTTTTAGCTGGTAAAAACATTTTTTATATGTAAGTGAATTATGGTGAGTTTCCTAACTGCCTGAAATGAATACTGAATTGAAACAAAAAAAAATCTGTTATATTTGTGCATTTAAATGAGGAAAGTAGAATAAGAAATTAAAGTTAACACAAAGGGAAAAATTAATGATCACAGCAAAATTACTGATAAAAGCAAAAGAAGTAAAATTTGTAGGAGATAAAATTCTAGATCTAGAAACCTAGGTACTCAAAAGTGCTATTCTAGGTCATGGAACTGTGTTTTTTCTATAAAATCCTTTAACCAGTCCACAAATTTTCCTGCTTCTGAAATAGGGTAATGTTTTAAATGATAAATTATGATGTCCAAAGGAAGCATTACCTGGCCTAGACCTGGCGATGAAAGTTGCTCTTGGGCCACAGAAGGAACACTAGCTCATAGTCATTTTATAAGTTTTGGATTGACACCTCCCACCTCAGGAGACCTGATTTCCATGCAGAGCACTCCTTTTTTAGAACAGAAGACTCTAAGAATACAGACAACAGAGAAATTATTCATTGTCTGAACTTCTATCATATTCTCCCTTCCTTACAACAAACTGCGGGTGGGCTCCTCACAAACTGCATTAAAAAACCACATGAGAAAGCACCATCCTGCTAACAAACACTATACTTGTCATAGCTCCCTGAAGGCATGACTTATGTCTGGCTTACCTTTACACCTCCCTCTCTATCCCAAAGCCTCTAACTCTAAACACACACAAAACCTGTCTCGGCACCTTGATCACAACTTAAAATCAATATTCATCTAATAAACGCAGACCAACTATGCTACTACACTTGGAGTATTACCCAAGTAGACCCTTATTTTATACTACTTAGTTTAAGCACTAGCTTTTGTCTAGTTTAAATCAAATGTCTTTATCAGTCAACAATATTGTAAAACTGGGAAGAATTATGTCTTTTGTTTCTTTTGGACCTCAGGTGGTCCCTTCAACACAGCAAGTACTGTACAAAGATTAAATAACAACCATAATATCCTATGAAAATACACAAGGATGTGTTTAAATCTTCAGGATATCTTTTAAAAAATGAAACTGACACGATAATATGATAATTTGCTTTTAAAAGGTATGGATATTTTTAATTTTTTCCAGCCTGACAGAAAATAGGTAGGATCTTTGTTCCAAAGATTCATAAAAGATCACATAATTTACCAAAATAACTACATATTATGTGAATTGACTACAAATTAATGAGACTTATTTTAAACAAACCACAACCTTATATCCAAATTAAAGATAACTCAACCCAACAAGTGGATATGAAACTAAATTTTGTAAGGTCCTGTGCCAGAGGCTGAAAACAAAAAATAAGTAAGACATGGTTCCCAACCTTAAAGTGTTCCCAATTCATCCCAAGACTTGTCCTGATAGTTCAAGGGATATATCTAGGAACATAACCGAAGTCCCTTGATGTACATTCTCAGAGAATTAGGAGACATTTTCATAGTGATAAGTGATATAGGAATGAATTTTACGAGAATAGTGAGCTGCCTATAATGAAGTTCACTTAAGGGAAAATGATTGTGTACAAAAGAGGTATCAGTTAATAAAATTACTTGACCACCTTGGAAGTCAAAGATTAGATTGTGTTTCAATGTTTGTCTTCATCCTGGGAAATCTTTAGGTTATGAACTGACAATTACTTTCTGCTCTTGATAGCTACCTTAAAGTAAGGTATAGGAACAACTGATTTTTCAACCTCTTTTGATGACCTATATAGTTATAGAAAAGATGTAAATTGGGGGCGTCCCCGGTGGCGCAGCAGTTGAGCGCTGGGCCACGAAGCTGCCTGCAACCTCTGCAACGCGAGTTCGATCCCCGGCTGCCGGGCAAGGGTCCAGGAGAGGCGCAGACCTCTCCTGCTGCCTGCTGCTCCCCTTAGCAGTGTATTTCGGTCCTTCTGCCTGTTCTTCTCCCTGCTCTGGCTCTGGTGAATTCTCTCACCCTCCCGCACTTCTGACTGTACCCCCCAAAAAAGAAAAGATGTAAATTGGGAGAGGAATGGAGGAAATTCAATTATCTAAAACAGTGATCAATATAGAACTCTTGAGCACTAACTTCTATATTTGTCATCTTTCTAGATGAATCCAGACATGAGTGGAAAGAGTACTACTAATGATTCAAAGTATTAATGTCACCAAAGTCAAAACTGGTTGGCACAATTAATTTCACTGTTAATTGCTCTGTTGTCTGTGATTATCAAAAGATGCACTAGGAATCTACACTTAGCTTGTGTTACCTAAATATGGCCATGAATGGAGCCAGTTAAAATTTTATCTAACATAGTATACAAATATTACATACAAAAAGGGACAGGTGTAACCAACCACCAATAATTATGTTATATTCCCATGTTTCATAAAAAAAAAAAAACTACAGAAAAACTGAGTTACTGACTGTGTTGATTAAAAGTGCACTATGATCCAAGTAATAAAAAGCTTAACCAACAGTGGCTTATTATGCAAAGGACTGCATAATAAGCCTGACTTATTTTCTGACTTAAAAACACATCAAGTAGGTAATGGTTAAAATGGGCTTAGTTATTTATCAGGCACATGAACGAAGAGAGATGATCTTTCCTTATAGTTCTGCTTTTCACCCTCATACTTATTTAGCTGTCAAACTATTGCTTTGCTTTCCAACTTATATCAACATTTCAATAAAAGAAAGGGGTGATGCAACACTGGTCACTTCGCCACATTTATCAAGAAAATCAAAAGTCCCCAGCAGATTTTTACTTACCTCTCATTAGTCAGAATTCAGTTACACACCCTCCTCTAACTATTAGGGAGATTGGAAAAGTAAGTACAGTTGATCCTCATTATTCATGGATTCTGTATTTGCAAATTCATCTACTCACTAAAATTTATTTTAAAACCCACAATCACTTGCAGTATTTTCAGGATTTTTTTTTTTAAGATTTATTTATTTATTTATACAAGCACTGGGTACAGTCAGAAGCACAGGAGGGTGAGAGAATTCACCAGAGCCAGAGCAGGGAGCAGAGCAGGCAGAAGGACCGAAGTACACTGCTGAGGGGAGCAGCGGGTGGCAGGAGAGGTCTGTGCGCCATGTGGGACCCTCCTCCGGTGGCCGGGGAGCAGCCAGGGAGCAAACCGGCACTGCAGAGACTGCGGGCAGCTTCGTAACCCAGCGATCAACCACTGTGCCACCAGGGAGGCCCTATTTTCAGGATTTTCTATGAATGTGTGCAGAGCAGCAAAGTTGCCAGATACTATTCCTAGTGGAGGTCTAACATGGTGACAGACACTCAGCATTCCCCTTTCAGCTCTTACACAGAAGGTGACCAGAGGATTGAGACTACAGGGGCACAGCTATGTGCACAAGAAGGCCCTGCTCTAAGGCTGGCTAGATGAGTCTTGAATGTCAACTCGGGTACCTGTTAGTGGGGAAGCCTCAGGTTTTGTTAACATCCTGAATTTCATTTTCCATTTTGTAAAATAAAGAAAATAGAATCTACTAAGATGACATGTTTTTAGGATTTAAGACTATAGTCCATAGGAAAGGTGTTTGTGTGGTGCACTTATTTCCCAAAGGAGCAGTGGTTCAATGTTTCTTTACAGAATTTTACTATTACCAATAACAAGAATCAACTGTATTGACATTTTCCAGCTGCCTTTTTATAGAGAGCGAAAAGGCAGGCATTTGAAAGTAATAAGCCAACCTGTAAGTTCCTATCTCATTGATACATCAGTGTGTAAGAGGGTTTGTTACATGTTTGGCCTAAGATTCAGAACTTCTCAAACTTTTCACAAAAGTTCACTAATTATCAAAGGAGAGGATCATGTGTGCCAGACAGTTTAAGGAGTGTGCCCTAAAGCAGCTTGTCACGAACAGATTATTGCTTTAGGATGCAGAAAGCCTCGAGAATATTGTTCCAACCTTAACAATGAGAAAACTCCAGATAATCTACATAATCATAACTTTCCTTGAGCCCATCCGAGAGTTGAGGTTACAAGGCATCATGTAAACAAATTCCAGAGAGTAACAGAAGCCTCGTCAGAGAGAATGGACGTACTCTGTGTCATCTTTTACGGAACAATGGAGAGATGGCCTCTGTAAAAATGGTTAAGAAGAAAATGGTAAAATTTTAACAAATTTTAAATGGTGAGCCTGTGCTTCACTTACACACACTTAAACCCCATCCACTTCCCTAGAGGTTTTGCTTCATACTAAATAAAACCCGAGCTACTAGACAGGAGTAGGAAACCTCTTGGGTTCAGACTTTAGCAAAAATCTGCTTAAGTCTAAAATTCCACAGACGTAAGGCAAAATTTGACTGCCCATGAGGGTGAAGCTGTACACAGAGATGGATACTCCCTCAATCTATGTGTACAAGCCCAACCTAAGGTTAAGGTTGAACAAGAAGGGATAAACTTCTGGCTTGTTCCCACAAGCCTTATATTTGGTTAATATGACACAGCAGTTTACTGCTATGAGAAAGCAAAAAAGATAGAGAGACTACCTTCTCTGTGGTGTAGGCATACAAGAACTACTGGAAGTTATCCTGCAGGACCAGAAAAATAGAAAAACCCATCAATACCTCAGACCTCAAAATAAGCACAAGGTAACATCAGCCCCACTGGAAGAAACTGAAGTCTGATGAGTAAAAGATGACTGGAGCAACAATCAATCCACACCTTGCTAAACTACTGGTTAACTCAACCACACATGCTTAATAAATATGAGAGGTGTCCATTTCCAGGAGAAAGTACTATTTAGAACAATACATGCTGTTCCTCTACAAGCAATATAAAGCATTCAATCAAAATTACAAAACAGTAAAAGCAATTAAAATATAGTCATAAAAAGACAAACTGGTCAACAAATTCAGGATCAAAGATGACCCAAATGTGGACAATATCATATAGGAACATTAAAGTTTATCATTATTATGTTAATGGTTCTAGTGAACACACATACAACATGCATGAACAAGTGGGTCCAATGCAACAGAGAGATGGAACCTACCCACTTGGATGCCACTGCCTGCCATGGCCACCTGAGTCCTGGAGCTTGAGCCCATTCAACCACACATAACTGCCTCACCAGGACATATAACATTGGTGGGACACAACCCACAAGAGAAAAGAGCACCAAGCAGGCAGGGTGGCAAATTATAAAACTGAAGCATTGAATGGTACTTGCTGTGTAAAAGGAAGAGGCAGAGGTAAGCTACTAGCCTGGAACCACACCTACTCATCAACAAGTTTGAGACTGAGTACTTAAGCCCCAGTTTCCCTCAACAAGTCTGAGACTGAGTATTTAAACCCTAGTCTCCCTTCCTGCCCCTGCCTCTCACCAAGGAAATAAATAAAACTACTCTTTGCAGTGTGCCAACCAAAAAAAAAAAAAGTAAAGAGGACAATACACGTACCTAAGATGCAAGGGACATCTGAAAAGATGGAAAAGCAAGTTGTAGGACATAAATAAATGATATGGAACTAAAAGACCTGTGAGACAAATACTTTAAAAAATATATTTACAAAATGCTAAATGAGGTACTAGGTCAGTCAAAGACAGGCAGGCAGGTACAAGATCATACAAAGGAGAACCGAGAATAAAAAGAATACTTCACTACAGAGATTGGAAATATTAAAGAAACACTAAAAGAGACTCGGAATGAAATGAAGACAAATATGGAAAGCACTTTAAATAGATTAAATTGGCAGAAGAAAGAATTTCAGAAATAGAAGACTCAAATGTACAAACCACCCAACTGGAAAAAGAGAAACAAGACTTAGGAAAAATAAGGAAACTCTACAAGAAGTATCAGACTCAATTAGAAGAGGAAACATAAAGATAATGGGTATTCCAGAAAGTGGAGAGAGAGAGAAGGGAGCAGAGACCTTACTGAAAGAAATAATAGCTGAGAATTTTCCAAACTGAAGGAATGAAATACGCACAACTATCCAGGAAACAGACAGAACACCCAAATTCTAAATGTAAAAGACTTATGCAATAAATAAATAAATCATTGCTAAATTATCAAAACTCAAAGATAAAGAAAAAAAATACAGGAAGCCATAGTAAAGAAAGTAAAATACAAAGGCATCCAAATTAGGCTTTCCTGGCAAATCGCACAGTTACCCTCCAAGCAAAAAGAGAGTGGAATAAAATGTTCAAATCCTAAAAGAAAAGAACTGCCAGCCAAGAATACTGTATCCTACAAAATTATCATTCAAATGTGAAAGTGAAAAGAAGCCTTCCCAGGCAAACAAAAGCTAATGAAATTTATTAACAGTAGACCTACCTTGCAAAAAATGATGAAAGGTGTTTTTCCAGAAGAAAATAAAAAATGAAAAGCAAAACCCAGAGCGAAGTGAAAATAGGAAATACAAAATCAGAAGCATGAATAAGAATATTATGAATTAACAGCAAAACACTAAATGGTGTAAAGAAAAGAACAGAAACTATAGATAAACTATCAGAGTTAACATCATAGAAAAAAGGGACTTTTTTAGACATAGTAAGTTCGGTATAACACCCATGGTAACCACTAACAGGAAATTTAGAATAGAGGACACAGAGGAAGAAATGAAGAAACTGAGAGAATCACTAGAAAAGTCATCCTAAGGAATAAAAGACAGAAACAAATGAAAAAAAAAAGAATAGAAAAACAAGAGAGTCAAAAAACAGAATAACAGTAAATAAGCACAATATATCACTAATCATCTTAAATATGAATGGCCTGTACTCCCAATTAAAAGGCACAGAATGAAAAAATGGGTTAAAAAGTTTTACTCATGATGCTTTGTTTACAAAAAGCATATTTAAAACTAAAAGACAGGGCCTCCCCTGGTGGCGCAGGTGGTTGAACGCAGCACTATGAAGCTGTCTGCAGCCTATGCAGCACGAGTTCCATCCTGGCTGGCTGGCGAGAATCCAACATGGCACAGTAGACCTCTCCTGTCTCACCAGCTGCTCCCCTCAACAGTGTATATTGTCAGTCTGCCTGTTCTGTTCCCCGCTCTGTCTCTGGTGAATCCTCTCACCCTCCCACGCATTTGGCCTGTACCATGGTTCTTGTATAAATAAATAAATCTTTAATAAATAAATAAATAAATAAAACCAAAAGACAAAAACAAAGATTGGAGCAAAATATTTCAAGCCAATAACTCAGAAAGAAAAGCAAGAATTGCTTTTCTCATATCTAATAAACTTAGAGTCTCAATCAAAAAAGGGAATCAGAGACAAAGATGACGTTACATGATGATCAAGGTGAAAATTCATCAAGAAGATAAAACTGTCATTAATATTTATGCACCTAACACAGGGGATCTAGTTATATAAAGCAAATATTAACAGACCTAAAACTACATAATGACAAAAATACAATTATTTTTGGAGATTTCAAAACACTGCTGACACGAAGGGATAGCTCATCTAGACAGAAAGTTAAGAAGAAAATAAAGGCTTTAAAAGAAGTGTTGGAATACAGGGACTTAATAGGTATTTACAGAGCTTTCCATCTCCAAGGAAAGGAACACACATACTTCACAAGAGCACATGGAACATTCTCAAGAACAGGTCATATGGTGGGACATAAAACACGTGTCAGAAAATTTATCAAAGTTGAAATTATATCCAGCGTCTTCTCAGATCATAATGTTATAAAGCTAGAAATAAACACAAAAATAATACAGCAGTAAACAAAAACATGTGGAGACTAAATAAAATGCTTTGAACAACTCTTGGGTCAATAAAGAAAACAAATAAGAAATTAAGAAGTATCTGAAGACTACCAATATTTAAGAGCAAAGCTACAAGATCCACTATGAGTCTACAAGATCCACGTATGTCATAGCATTACAGGCCCACATAAAAAAGAAATATTAAGAACAAGTAACGTAATTATAAACTGAAGGAACTAGTAAAAGAAGAACAAATCTGAAAATCTGAAGGAAGTAAATAAAAATAACAGCAAAAGTAAAAGAAATAAAAACAAAAATATAGTCCAAAATATCAAAGAAACCAAGAACTGCTGCTTTGAAAAAAAAAATAAACAAACAAAATCAACAAACCTTCAGCTAGGCTTACTAAGAAAGGCAAAAGAAAACGCAAATAAATAGACTCAAAACGACTAACAGATGCCACAGAAATACAAAGGACCTTAGGAACCTATTATGAATGTCTCTTTGCAAACTGGAAAATCTAGAAGAATGAGCAAATTTTAGACATATAACCTTCTAATGATTTAGGACAAAGGAAATTGCTTGAACAGTCCAATCACAAGCACAGAAATTGAAAGAGTAATAAAACAGTCTCACTAAAAAACAAAAGTCTTGGACAGCAACATATTAAGAGAATCAGCCAAAATAAGCAAGTAGGTTTCATCTCAGGGATCAAGGATGTTTCAACATATGCAAATTAATCGATGTCATTTACAAGACCAATAAAAAGGAATATAAAAATAACACCATCATTTCAATGCAAATGAAAAAAATCAGTGAAAAATCATTTGACAAGATTGGACAACCATTTGTAATAAACTCTCTCAATAAAATGGTAATAAACAGAATGTACCTAAACATAATAAAAGTCATATATGACAAACCCACAGCCAACATCATAAATGGTAAAAAGCTGCAAGCATTTTTGCTAAGATCAGGAAAAATATAGGTATATCCACTGCCACTACTACTACTGTTCAACATAGTATTCAAAGTCTTAGCCACAGCAATAGGCAAGAAAAAGACAAAAAGAACATAAATTAGAAAAGAAATGAAGCTATCACTATTTGCAAATGACATGATCATATACATAGATTACTAAAAAGACCCTACCAAAATATTAGAAATAATAAATGAATACTATAAATTGACAAGATACAAACTTAACACACAAAAATCAGTTACACTTCTATATGCAAAGTATCAAAAGAGAAAAAAAAATCAATTACAATCACATCAAAAATAATAAAATATTTGTGAGTAAACTTTTTATATATATCTTCACTTTATTTTTTAATATAATTTATTTATTTATATATTTTTTACATCACTGTTCATATTTGTTCAATGTTTGCTTTCTCCCCTCAGGTGTAGTATCAGTAG